CAAACGAAAAGATAATCGTCATTTTAATAACCACGTTTGTCATTTATAATGGTTGTTGACAAATAACTGTCCTTACAAGTATTTTCATTAATCTCTTTCCTCATCTTTCTCTCTTACTATAACACTATGTATTATTAAAATAATAACCTGTATTTTCATGCCAACATGGAATTATTGCATCGTTCGTCGCGTTTCACTATTATTGATGTTCATCATCACGATACCATCATTTTTCCGCAACGTTTTAAGTAACTGATGTGAAACTAAATTCCGGGAACGCTTTGGGTAGATGGCAGCACGTTAGGTGTCACGTTCGCGCCAAAGATTAAAATGAAATATGGCTGCTTCTTGGAAGGGATTGGGTTTGTGGTATGGTTATTAATGCTCTAATGTGTAAAGAGAAACAATTTCTCTGAATTTAGGAAATTAGTACCTGCCTGCTTAGATTTGAATAAACATACATACACAAACAGGTACCTCATTACATCTCAATCAGATATTTAAGAATTAAGACACGCTAAAATTATTTATATAGGTTAGGTTCTGCTACTACCAATAACGATGTTTGTAATTAGTTATCTCACTAAAGAAACCATGATTTTCAAAGAAACAAAAAACTGTCAAACGTTAATTTAAAATTGCTTTGACTTTCACAAACACATCGACACAATATAACAACAATGTATCTTTAAAGTAATTGCTATTGCAATCGACTTTTACAATTTGCAATACTTGTCTTGTCTAACAAATAGTGTTTTTGTGTTCCCTATTTACCGATAACATCGTAATATTAGTTGTTGTTGCATAATTATATCAATGAACTGGTTGCTTCGATCCAAGCGCAGTCGTCGGCTGCATTCGGCCCTCGCCGGTAAGACACAACCTACCCTATAAAAAAACAAAATTAAAAAAATATTATAACCTAATTTGTGAACAGTGCTGTCATTTTTAGACTATTTTTTTAAAGACTTTGAAGTATTTGTGATATTGTGTTTTAAGTGTTATTTACTTAGAAATAAGAGTGATTATTGTGTGTTCACGTTTTGGAGAAAGTTTACGAATAGTTGTCATCTGCAAAGTGCTTGGATGCGACGTATTGTCACGTAATCATTCGACAAATATTTTTTTAATTTTTCTAACAGTGTTATCATCTCGTTATCTTTTGAAGTCTTCAACAGATTATTTTCTTTTATTTACGTCTATAAAAGTAGTAGACCTATGTATAATTCGGCACCCACTTGTGTAATGTATAAATTGATATTTCAAATAATGTACAGATGAGTTGACTAAACCTGAATCAAACGGACACAGGATAATTTTATCCAGGTAAAACTCGACCATATTCATTCATTTTTAGAACTGCAATATACATATCGAAACTATACCTAATACAAAAGTAGTCTCGATAAACAAAACAATGCGCTTCGAATACAAACCTTACACTCAATTAAATAAAGACGTAAATAAAATAAGGATACCTACTAGGTTTTGTAGCTTATAATCTAGCTTCAGTCATCCATAAAGTTATCGAAATCAAAGGAAACGTTAGTAGTTTTTTATAAAGAAACAAATCAAATCATGGTTGGGTAATGTAGCTCGAAGGACGATCGAGTTTTGCGTAAATCGGTCACAGGGAAATAACAATTTCACGTGTATTTTGTAGAATACAGCGTAATATAAGTAAGTAAATATCACGGTATATTTCCACGAACAGGCTGGACAGAGTAATGTTTAAATGCAGGACCTTTTTAAAAACAGTTAAATTGATATATCAAACAATCAAATATCTAAATTATAAACTTCTATTAAGTGGAAATTTAATCCATTGCCACTGAGACTTCTCAGTGGCAATGGATGGTAGGTACCTATGTCTGCATCAGATTCGTATTCATATTTATTTAATCATTTGCAAACATGGGTACATAATAAGTATATAGGTGTTAACAAAGTTTATAGTTTCTCCATATTTTGCCTTAACTTGGCATGCAAAGATATGTTATAAAAATAATTATATTCCGTGCTGTACCTGAAAATCTCAAAGGTATTTTATATCTATTCTCGATTCGATCGTATCTTCATTGCAGTCACGTTTGAAATAACTCGTCCAACAGGACAATTAGGTATACAGCTAATGTACTATTTACTTCTATAAAAGTACTATTTATATATTTTATCGTCAAAACAAAAGACAAACGATCACTGACACGAATGGCGAACAAAACAAAAGAAGTTGTAACACATAATAACAACGAAATTATTAAATAATTTCATTGTGTCAAACTTGATTATATAAATAAAATTGTTTATATTTAAGATTATATTTTTCATCGCTATTATTTACTTTCATTGTTTCTGATATTTGATAACGAAATAATAATACAGATGTAGCAGAGAAAGCTGCAAATATTGACGTGAAATGAAAAAACTTGACAACGTACCTAGATATACATAATAAGTAACTGTAAAGTACTTAAATAATCATGATACAATTAAGCTTAACTGCCTCTTTAGACAAGTGATCACAAATCAAACTGCTGTGCAAGATACCTCGACTTATCCCCAAGAAGTTGAAAATTTCTGTCCAATCCAGAAAATACGACCGCATATTCTTAATCAAACATTTAAAACCGGAAAATGGAATTGGTTTAGTACCAAGCCGCTCCTCTTAATGACTTACCTGATAACACAGTTTCTCTTATCAAGCGCCGCGCGTACCACCGACCGCTCGCTGCGTCAACGCTACGCACGTTTTCGCACGAAACATTAACTTTCCCAACGATAACTACTAAATGAAATACAAGAATACCATTAATATCAAACAATGGCAATTGCTCTGCACATTGAAACTGTGGAATATTACCAAGATATCGAAAACTACATATAAGAAAATGTAATAAAACCTATCAATAAGGTTTTGAACTTTGCTTGTAGTAAAGTCATTTTACTCAGGTCTTTGTAGCTGCCATTAAACATGTAGCCTTTAATGGGGAATGGTGACTATGAAGTAATTCGCATACTAGACGGCCTAAAGTCTAAACTAAATAAAAAACATGTACCTAGCGCCCAATAGAAACGCTAAATTGGCTAAAGACAATGTTCTCACGAAGTTCATTGTTACTAATATAAATCGCGATGCAATAATCATAAATCATTTTAGACAAAACACAACTGTTGAAACCAAATCAATAACTAAGATTTATAAACCACTATTAACAAAGCAAAACATTTGTTTGATATAAACTGTTAAATGACGAAATGAAAACTAAAATACATACGGATAATAAACGTGAACACATAAAAATTACTTTAAAGATAAAATAAATGTGTAATTAAATAAAGACGATGAAGTGAAAGACAAAATGGACAAATGTGAACTAAAATAAGATAAAAGTGATGAAGATTGAGACGGTAGTGATGTGATGAGTGACATCAATGCTGACGTCGATGTCCGAGGTGATAGTGCTGGTGCAGAGTGACACTTACGACGTGTTCCGTCTGCTGGAAGCCTGGTGGCAAGGGCTGCTGTTGCTGGGCAGGTTGCTGCTTTGGTACTGTCGGTTGCTGCAGCAAGCTGCTTATGGTAGGCAAAAGGACATCTCAGCTTTGTGGTATCTAACTTTAAAAATGTTATAAAGATAGGCCAAGAATCAAAATATTGGATAATTGAGGTTAAAGGCTTTTTGTTTGTTTGCGTGTTTAATCGATGTTGATTGAGTTTTTGTTCTAAGTAAAGGAATTGACACTCTCATAATAATAGAAGACTCGTTAAAATATTCACCCATTGAGACTATCAAAACTTAATCAGAAGAGGAAAAACGATTTTTCCAAAATGTGTCCTTTAGTTTAGCTGAAGTTACGTGAGAGGATATGGTTGGTGTCATCGATATTTTTATGGCAAACATTTAATTGAAAAACGAAAAAGACCATATTGCCCGCTTCGTTACGCTTCGTTCTAACTGCAGTCAATACTACATTATGATTTTGGTCCTTTTGTACGAAAATTAAATGGTTTGCACATGTTGTCTATATATTTTGTAATAAAATTTTAATCATATCTTACAACTATTTATCATACAATATCAAGTTCCTTTTTGCTACTAATCATATCAATTATGAATGAAATTGCATGTTTCAGTACATTCTTTACTGATTAATCAATTTCAACATATTTCCTCATAATTACTTATTACACCTGTACTTATTATCATCAAGTTTTATCTATGTATCTTTTACTCTGCGTACATCGAACTAATCAACAATTATGATAAAGAGATAACGTTATCGGACATTTAAATACTTTAGCTGCTTCTTGCAGTAGTTTCGAAGGAAAAACATCGTTTATTTGATTAAAAAATACCTAGAGAAAGGTGAAAAAGTATGTTATCTGAGATGGACTTAATTGGAGTAACTAAACTAACATTGAAATTGGGGTTTAGTAAATAAATTTACATACGTACGTACGTACATGTAGTTTGGTTTTTTTTAACTCGCAGTTGAAACACGATCTGAAAAAACAGTAAGCAATCAGCAGCTGTAACCAAATGCCATTTAGCACTTGTCTACTTGTAGACTAGAAAACTAAATTATATGGGATTAACGTAAATTTGGACACTTGTCAGTGTCATCCCCATACATTTAGATTTCTATTCTCGCGGTAGACAAGCGCTAAAGTGGCGTGAGGCACTATTCAATTGCTTTTATCAGATTTTCACCTTTATTTTTTTTGTTATAAAGTTAAAAATCCAATGGAAAAAATTGACAGAAAGGAGTATCTTAACCTGTTGGCGTCTGTACATCTAAATTCTAGGCTGACCTAACCTTGTTGTATGTAGTAACTACTTTAGTTATAATTTCAAGTCTTCACCTCGCTCTCAATGGTTTCGTTGCGTGACTTCAAGCGTCAGGTCAAAGGCCGTTTTTCTTAATACATATTACTATGGAATATGGTGTTTTATTGGTCTATGTATTATGTTTCAGAACTTAAGGTGCCTGAGGAGGCAATGATGGCGCCCAGCGTGTTCCAAAGGACCAAGTCACCGCGCACCTCACCTGGAAACTTGCCTAGAAAATTACAGGTAACTGTCTATTTAATTTGCATAATTAAAAAAAAATAAATCGAACTACAATGTCTTCTTTCTTTTGGGATCCGTCTAATGAAAATACCAATTATGAACGTTGTTTCTTTGTTTTTTGATGAATAAAAATAAATTGCAAATTCCGTCACCGAACCCGTGGCTAGAATCCGTCTACGTAAGCTGATTTGTGAAATAAAACTTATTATGTCCTCTACTTAATTAATTTAATTAAAAATTACTCAAACTGCACACAATTCGCATTCAGCAATAATTTACAGTTCCATTGCCCTAATGGCGGAACAGATTAAAAAATTCCGAACAAATGTCATTTGTTTTGCATGCGGGCGCTACCACCATGAGCGTGGAATTTTAAAAATAACTTTCAAATGTCGAATTCTTTAGTTTTCCCTTAATTTAAAAACTGCGAACAAACATGTCGTTACGTAAAGTATGTATATAAAACCCAGATATCTAGGTACTTGTAAACTACAAGTATTGTAATATGAGATAACCATCTGTCTATTCATAAACGTGAAGAATATTTACATAAAAAACTTGATATTACTGTTTTCTATTAACATAAGGTAATAAACATCAATACGTAATCAGCATATACAACACCTTGTTCGAATCAAGTACAAATTGCAACTTATTCAAGTAAGATAAACGTGTAGGATACATTATTAATAACTACTAGATATACAATGTTTTCACACATTTCCATATGAAAATGAGAAATATTTTCATCATCAACTGCCTATAAATGCCCACTGCCGAGCAAAGCCTCTTCTTACACGGCGAGTTTGAGCATTAACCACCACGCTTGCTCAATGCGGGTTGGCGATCACAAACATATAATTAGAAATTATAAGCCCGGTTTCCTCACAATGTTTTGCTTTACCGTTTGTCAGTGATGTCTAGATAATCTTAGAAAGTACATATAACTCAAAAAAAGTCACATTGGTCCTTACCGTTGGAACACGAAGTCGCACCCTCAAGTCGCATGAAAAGCGGGAGTCTTAAACCTCCAGGCCACCACGACAAGAGAAAGATTTTAAGTATATAAATTGTAAATCATTCGTTAAAAATCCCTCAGATCGTTATATTCAACAATGTCCATTCCCAAATGATTATAATCTTACAATCGTACTAATATTATAAATGCTAAAGTAGGTAGGTATGTTGGTTTGTTACCTCGTCGCGTCTAAATAGCTGAAGGGATGGGGATAAACTTTGGAACAGCCAAATATTATGGTTTGGAATTACAGATAGGTAACTTTCTTTCCCACGGGGAATAAGTTAATAATCCTGACCCTGATCCAGTTTAAAGGTACCCAAAAAGACAATATTTTAATTTATGTTTCTCTAATGTTTCAGAACGGCACGGAAGCGTCTGGCCAATCAGATCCGACAGCTGATTCCAGTCCTGGCAACTCCATATCTGATGCTGAGAACTTTGAGTGCTACGGCGAAGGAGACCATGATGTTCCTGCTAATGCGTTAGTTTTTTATTTAAATAAATAGATATTTCGAAGCATCTTTAAGCCTCAAATAGACTGTGTTATCGCTATCCAAGAGATTTAACTATAGCGGCGAGAAGGCCTTCATTTATGAGTTCGGGGCATGCCATTAAAGTAATAAATCCTTATATTTTACCAGTACTAGATATAGTAGTAGTAGTACCTAATACCGAATCTTGAACGGACCTGGTGTATCAGGTGTATGGCAAATTGGCAATAGGTTCACCAGTGACCTCTGTTTACATGCTAGAACGTCTAAAAAATCACAATGGATAATTTATGTATATTGAGAGACATTAAACGTGGTGCCATATCGTGGATACGACTAGTTTTACTCCTGGTCCTGGACAACTAAGGATTTAAGAACATCGTCAAAGGAATTTAAAATAGAAACTAAAGGGTAATTTGTAGTAGCTCCACGTTGGGTACCGAAATCTACATCTTATTAAGTACGAATTAATATTCAAAGTTAGCTTTAATATGCATGGCAGCATGGTAGTTAACGGACGGCGGATAACGTGGTTAGGAAACAGCCCTTTTGAATAAGTTAAGACGAAAATTGGAAAAGTTATTTTACCGAAATTCTTTCTACTGCTGACCAAAGGCCTGTTCTCACACGGAGAAGGTTTAAGCATTAATCACCGCGCTTGCTCAATGCGGATTGACAATTTCAAACTTATGATTAGAAATCAGAAGCTTAGGTTTCCTTACGATGTTTTCCTTTACTGTTTGTCAGTGGTGTCTAAATAATCATAGAAAGTACATTAAACTCGGAAAAAGTCACATTCGTACCTGTTTTGGTAAATTTCGCACCCTCATGCATGAGCAGCAGACGACTTGAACCTTCGGGCTACCACGACTATGCCACCATAACACAATACAGCTTCGTTATTCCCTATTTAGTTACTTGTTGGTCTATGAGCCGAGATTAATAACATTAGTATTTAGATTAACATGGTTTTTGATTGGTTGTTTATAATTTCTGCCAGAAACCTGAATCGATCTAATGAACTAAGATCAGCCACTAATTTCAGCCATAACAATGGTAATAAAGCTGCTTCGTGAAAAACTAATTTCTAGATATAAAATTAAATGTTTCTGTTAAATATTAGGTCCATTTACGGTTTACCATTCAAGTACTTACTTAAATAACGAAGCTAAGTGTATGCAAATCATTTAAAAGCATTTCAACTTGTCACTCAAATGTTTCCGCCTTGTACAATTTTACATTTATTTACGTCTCATCTACTATTCGTTTTCCTATTATTTATAAACATTTCTTCATACTTCAAGGCAGGAAATTGAAGTCTGTAAGGTATTATGTCTAAACACGTAAAAACAACGATTAAAATTGTAAAATATTTTTTTTTTGTCATCGCTTTTCAAGAGCGTTCCTTTTACACCCTGTATTAACATAACATAACATCACGGCCTTTATCCCCAAAGGGGTAGGCAGAGGTGTACATTACGAACTTAATGCTACTGTACAATGTAACACCCACTTTTCACTATTTATGATTATGAGTCCCATGTATAGGGGCTGAGCCTATTGCCATATAACGGGCACAATTCCAGACTCCGTGTTACCACTGAGATTTATTGAAAAAACCCCATTAATGCTTTGCCCGACCCGGGAATCGAACCCGAGACCCCATGCCCGGCATTCACACTTGCGACCACTACGAGGCAGTCAAAGTACCCTGTATTAAATCTTAACAAAACTAAATACTAAAATGACACTTGATAGGTACATAATTAGTAGCATAATTTCTCCATCAACCTTAATGAACTGGCACAACGAACTCAATATAAATAATATTAACGTTGATCTAATTAAGAAATAATTAATAAAACATATCAAAGACAAAATTTTATAGACAACATAAACAGAGATTAGCAATGGAGTCGAAACGTTTTATGAAGGAACACAACCGGTCAATGGTATCGTTAAAAAACTTCCGTAAATAAAATTTTATGTGCAACAACTAGGTAGATTACTGTTTTAAGCAGTTGTACCAGACGTTTTCTAAACATTTCTACATGAGTTTTTATTACAAAGTCGATCGTATCCCATACACGACCTAGTTTTTGAAAAGGATAATTTTGTTACTTGTACAAAAATGTTATGCACTAATCAAATCAACACCAAATTGCCACCTAATTGCCAATATGCATACCTACATATGTAAAATTCAAGTCGGTATCTAACACTACATGTTTAGTCAAATCTGTGGTAATCTGGTCTATATTATTTTTTTATTGATAACTTTTTTTTTGTTTAGTTTAGTTCAGTTTAGTTTTGACCCGACAAACTTCGTACCGCTTAAAAACCTTTAAACCTTCCCTGTACTTCTACGAACATTTTAACACCAAAATTAGCCAAATCGGTTCAGCCGTTCTCGAGTTTTAGCGTCCGACTAACGAACGGAAATGGATGGACTTTTATTTATACATACATATTTACTTCAAAACAAATGCCTAAGCTAATACTAGGTACACACTATTGAACCTTTGTAGTATGACTATTTTTATCATGGTTAGATATTTTACTAAAGCTTGAGGCAATAAGAAACTTAACTGGGCGTTAAAAACAAATATGTCTTGTTAGGTTGCTGTATAGGTTTCTGTTGTTGATATTAAAATTTTATTTTCTTTCACAGATTAGAGAATGGTACCCGAAGTCCTGGAAACCCTTTGAACAGACACTCTTGGACACGGACCAGCCTTAGGAGAACACCACCAAGGTAAGTCTGTGGATAAAACAATAGACACAGGCACTGTTACTAAAATAACTACGGATGTAGATCAAGTTGGTTATGAAATTATTGAGGTTTTAGATAATTTCGTATTGAATGAAGATATAGAAGCGACTGATCCTGTTGCAATCGATGATACAACAAAAGAGCTAAAGAAATTACGACCATTAAAACGATCGGAATCAAACTAATCCTAAAAACTAAAAGCAATAAGATAATGTATTGCTCGCTACTGCATTGGTCGCTTCTCTAGAGATCAGATTTTTTGTAACGTACCTAAATAATTGTGAACATGAAATGCAAACCAAAGTATATGGATAAGGTTTTCCAATACTTGTCTGTATTTAAAAAATACACATCAATACTTCAACAGCCTATAAGTGCGCACTGCTGAGCAAAAGCCTTTTCTCACATGGAGAAGGTTTTTTCAATAAATACCTACGAAGTATTATCTAAAACCTCAGTTATGAAATCGATTATTTTTATCAGTTTTACATTTTCGTGGTTCTTCTTTCTGCACTTTCTTAGTTCTTTGTAAAACAATCTTAAGTGTGTTCTTATTTTCTTCAGTTTGTTTGTTTTGTTTACTTAATTTTGTTTTGCTATATTTATTTTTTCTTGTGTTTGCTTTTTATTTTTATATATTTGTGTTGTATCTCTTCCGTAGCCATCAGGAGAACTTGCCGAATCGCCGTTGGGGCTCCATGAGACAGTAAGCTTTCTTTTGTTTTTTTTTTCATGTGACAAACCTTTGCATATATTATAACAGTTCTTAATGACTTTCTTTAACGTGATAAAGACTAAAGTGTTCTTTATGGGACCTATGTATTTAAAACCAAGTGATTAGATATTAATCATTAGATATCAATCAGACATTTCAAAATTTTACTTTTTTGAGACAAAAGTAAATAGCAAAGTTTTGTTGCAGGTCCTGTTATTTTCTTTCTTGTAATATTTTTTTGGTTTGGAGAACAACGCAAAGCATATGTACAGTTATCATCAAGGTTGAAATTAAGTATTAAATTGAAATTAACATAATTACGAGTTATATTTGAATTGAACAGTTGTTCATATTGTAAAGGAAGTACAAATAAATATGAAACAGATCCTACATTCAGTAGTTATCAATTGTCAGACCTACTAGGACATATACATATATTATTTCTGCCTTGCGTTTTTCTTCAAAACTTCAAATTTCATTTTTGTGTTATTGTTTGTGTTTGTTCGTTTTGCATGTGAGTTTCATTAATTTATTTTACTTTTTCCTTGTTCAAATGGTGCTATTATCCTATTAATCTATATATATATAAAAGAAAGTCGTGTTAGTTACACCACTTATAACTCAAGAACGGCAGAATAGATTTGGCTGAAAATTGGTAGGGAGGTAGTTTAGAGCCAGGGGATCGACATAGGATACTTTTTGACCAAAATTTTTTTTAACTTTTTACCGAAAATCACGAATGGGGACGGGAAAAAGTGGGATTACGCGTACGAAGTCGCGGGCAGAAGCTAGTATTATAAATGCGAAAGTTTGTGAGGATGTATGCGTGCGTGTGTATTTGTTACTCTTTCACGTCAAAAAGGCTGAAGGAATGGAGGTGAAATTTGAAACAGCGATAGATTATATATAGTCCGGAATAACACTTTTAATCCCACGGGAACGCGGGCCGTGGCTAGAGGTAGTAACTATATATTAACCAGGTTTTGCTAAACATTCTCAATAACTTCTTAAGAAGTTTTTTGGGACACAATATAATATAAAAATTACCATCCAACCTGTATCTGCGTATCCAAGCCATTCTTCGTCCAGAATTATTTAACTACCTATATTTTAAGACAAGCTACGAAACACGCGACATACACCGTCAATCGAAAATCTTCTCCAAGTCCACCAGCTATTGCCACCACCAACTTATCCAACACTCATAAAACTACTTGCCCAATAATTATCAACCTTAACACACCTTAATAAGAACTTCCAGTGTTTTGTCAAGTGTAATGCTATAGTAGTATTTAGTGCTATTGTCAGCTAGAGACAATAGCGTCACTATTTTCAGTATATAATGAGTCATCTCATCACATCAGATCTAAACGTGGGCTAGTAATAAAACAATTGAATATCGACCTATGTGCATTTCTCAGGATGGGCTTGGGAACTAAAGTAATCGATCATCTAGATATGCACACGATTTGAGAATTTTAGCCGATGAACCAACTTTTAAAAGCATTGTTATAATATAAATGATAGGTTGTGAATTAAATACGTATGGAAACCGTACAAAATTCTCACTCTCATTCGATTTAAAGTGCCATTCAAGAATCACTCTAATGCTAAAATGTGGGTTAAGCGGATTCTCACTTTGCCTTGGTAATCAATTCCAATTCTGGCCATGTGGTCATCTGAAAGTGAATAAGACAGTACTTTGATTTCGAAATTATCTATAATAAAACTAATAATTAAAATTTTCATGATTGGTGTGTACAAACAGATTCGTCACTTAGATTCAGAAAATACACACAAATATAGACAGATATAATAAGTATGTTATGTAAACAATACGAGTAGTCTTTCTTTGTACAACTAAAATGCAACACGCAGCTGATTCCACTCTCTCATAGTTATGTCTTCTCAAAACAAGTTAATGGCGAACTAGAAAAGTAAAATGATTTATTTACTTTGTTCCCTTAAGAGGGAATACTTAAATAGATCTTCAGACAGTTATCTTGTTAACTTCTAAGAATAATAATTATAACTTTGTAACTTTTGCCAATAAGGGAACAACTTGAGCTATTGCGAAGTACTTTGGGATTTATCGGGAACTAATAAAAGCGTGGTAGCATGATATTGGAAGTTTCCAAGTTGCTATTAAATGTAGTTACATTTTCATGTCCTATTGAAAATTATTAAAAAATTTGCTTCGGTATCCTCCATTTTGTATAGTTATTTTATAAGCTCCTTGAAAAGGCGGAGAGCTATTTTTACAACAGACCCTGTAGTTCATATTTGGTAAAAACTGGTGGATCAAATCCAAATATTTCTAAAAGGAAAAAATCTGTTCGCTAAAGGAAAATGTATGGCCTAATTTTCAAAGACTGTTAGCGTGTCCAATATATCTGCCTCGAAGTTATAATTAAAACATAAACAAATTCAATCTGTCGGATCCTAAAGGCCTCGGCAACGGCGGCGTGACGAATTCCCATTAGCAGTCTCCAAACCAAATTTTATGGATGGAGCCGGAAATTGAAACCTATTAACTATTTAACTGTCCCCTTTATGGATCGGAAGTCATAGTTTTTAATAAAATCAAAATTGTCTTAGCTAGGTCAATGAAGTCCTGATAATAATAGTGCCTATTAAGTACTAATTAAATTATAAAATTCATAAAATATTGAACTTATGGCCTGTGGAAGTACATAACATTATGTGGCTATTTATTTGTAAAATGAAATACTTTAACTTGTAATGTAAAGTATCTAATAAAACACGGAAATCTTTTTGCCACATTCATAAAATATATGACAAAATGTTACTATAATTTAATGTGTTACGTAGACTAGCGTGTGTGAACAAAAAAGTAAGTTAATTTTATATATTATTGTTAGTATATAATTTATTTTGTTATGTCTATATCCGCTCTATATACTTGTCTTTGTTTCCGAATTAATTGAGTTCTTCAAGTAGATATGTCGTTTTCTTGGAAGTCAGAATTATGTCATAGTTCTGAGTTACGCATTTTGTCTTTTGGCTAGAGTTGATTACACCCCTGGTATCTTGTTTGGGCAATCATCACCAATAATCACCAACATAATGTTCTATGGTGCGCCACAACCACAAGTTGTGCTTGCAGAACTTTCTGCATCCAAGCACCTCCATGTACATATATATGTAACATTCTTCGCCGTCACGTCATCTCTAAAGGGTTAGATAACAAATATTTAGAATCACGCCATAGTCAGAACAATTCTACATGCTACACAACTAGATTTAAGCATTTAAGTATAATTTTCTTCTAATCCAGGCCCTAATTATCAACAATCGCAGAGCTATAACCACTAGAGCGAGGCAGACAAAAACATTAAAAACATTAAAATTGCCCGGCTTACGCCAGTCTCTGCAATATCTAACAGCAGTTAGAAACCCAATGCTATTGCAATGTGCAATGCTAGACTGCATTATGATTGGTACATCTAAATTTAGGCTATTTACATTTACAAAGGTTCATTAACCAACATCCTTCATGGGTACATTATGTGTTACAATAATGATATTAAGATTTTTTGGCTTGTAATCAGGTATTTACATGGTCATTCATAGCTGAATCATTAGGTACCTACCCACAATCTGTATTGAAAAAAAAAACATGTTTTATACTTGTCATAAATTGACAACATTACATTCTGAAACTAGATTTAAAAAAGTTTTTTTCCATATTATCGAACAAAACCCCGTATCACGCACGGATTATCTTACAGCGCTGTAGGTAATAGGTACTAAAGGGACATAAATTCCAGATTCAATGCTAATCTTTGTACCTTGTTCAGTTGTAGGAACAAGTCCTACAGCTTATAGGCCAATTCACTAACAAATCTGAGATATAAAATCTCAACTTCTGCCTTTCTTCAACCCTGAAGATCGAACCCATCTAACGACCCTTCTCCAAGATCTTTAGCATAGCCTGCCATAAGTGTATCTCTTCTGTAAAGCTAGAAATAAAAGAACAGGTAGAAATAGTTAGATCAAAAACTCAGATTTTGTCAGTTGGGATTCTCACCAAGAAAGTGAACTGTACCGTTCCGGCTGGCAGCGTTGCGCGGTTGCCCAACGCATGCGCATCACTGCTATACTATTTTACTCATAACGCACACATAATCAACAACACACATCGGTAATTGCAATTGTAGCACTATTAGGTATATGGAAGCATAGAAGGAAATTTAATTAAAACGTTAAACGATCCTAATCATTTTCTATTGCACTAATCTTTAAATAGGATATTTTAATTAATAGCCCAAATTATGTAGCTTCATAACGATAAAAGTATTCGATTTATAGTAACAAAAGAGAAAAACGCCAATTGTATTCATTCATTTCCAAACAATAAACTTGGCGGTGCACTATAATAGTGTGAAAACTGCTGTTCATTTTCATTTTGCTAACGTTGAATTATTATTCTAATAATATGTTACATATACTCATATATTTGTAAGATACACCATCTATTAAAGTTGGAATTTATATTACATACAAGATAATAAGAAAAGTAATGTTGACGTGCGTCAACAATATCTGCAACAGTGACTTAGCAGTGCACCCACTTATTACAGTAAAAGTTGGTTTCATAAATACTATCTACGCAATTGCGATATACATTATACGCGCACAGATTATCCCGATAACTAACGTATTTGGCGTCATATTTTGCACCAGGAAAAATATAAAACAATGTAACATAAATAACATTTGTTACATATGCATCAAATAGGTTCAAGAGTCACCGTATAACTACTAAAACAATGCTGAGAAAATAATGATTTACTTACTTATTTGAATTCCATTTCCTCAGCGCAGTCACGCATCACGCTACTTAATGTTTTTTATCTAAATACCTTGAAACCAGACGCTCGTTACGTGGGATATAGAAGAAAATAGCAAAACACGACCAATTTAGAAAGACCCCCTATATAATTCACAGTACTATTAATATATATGAT